GGTTACTTTGTGAATTGCATAAATCTGTATTGATCGGTTAATGGTTTTCCCTTCAGTATATAGGCTTGACTGAGAATTCCGCTTTACCTTTGTTCTGATGGCTTGAAACAGGCTACTGTTCTGACATAGTCTGACTATCTAAAATGCCTGCCGTTAAATTGGTCTCCACTTAAAATTGTTTATTTTCTGAAAAACATGCACACTTTTTCCATTGAGTTAATCGTGTTTCGTGGTGTGGGTCTTACACTGTTGCAACCCCAGTTAATGGGAAATAATGGGTAGAATAAGATATTTTAGAAGGTAACTTGTGATTAGAACTGTGTGGTAACAACTAGGTTAACAATCTTCTGATATACTTAGACGTTCAACCAAGAGTGTAAATGGACCAAGTAAAGAAAGAAACTAGAACACTTCAAGAGTACTTACCAAAAGGATTATAATGTAAGTTTAGTTGTCTCTGTCTGGTGTAATATTCTATGGCAGCAGGTTATATTCTACTTTCTAGTTAAAGTTGCCTATGAAAGAGTTTTGTTCAGAAAAAGAAGAGGATTAGGAGGCCTTAAGCTCATTATGGACAAGATTGCAGGATGAAAATTATCTTAAGAGTGGGACAGCCTCGAGGTAGTAATGGCCTCAAACTCTCTGTACTTTCTGCATCAAGTAAGCGATATTTTGGAGGACAATTGATCTTGATCTTGGTTTTTCTCTTGTTTCCGCAGAGGAAAGACGAACTTTTTAAAGAAGGGTGGGTGAACTTCAAGAGCAGTATTCAGGCCCCAAGATGGTGGAAAGGAATTTCATCTTCAAGATGGACGCAAACATTATAGTCATCAATTTGTATTGAAATGCTAGATTTGGAATCAAAATTTTGTAACTTCTTTCTTGAGACAGCCAATTTGGATATTGTATTCAAGGGATATGTATAATGCCATAGTCTGACTGACGGTGTTATTTATGCCGAGCCGTCTTAGCTTGGGGGGATATCATGATCGGTATAGAGAATTTGTAGGGGGAATTGCTGATAGAATCAACTTTCTTTCTTTTTGCAGTAGTGTTATCTGACAAATTTAGGTTCTTTCCTTCTCTTTTCAAAATTGACAAGAAAAAGAAAGCCCCAACTTGTTTATTGTATTTTTATGCCTTTTAGTGCGTGTCTATTGTATGTATTGCGCGTTTAGTGCTACAGTATATGGTTTGTAATTGCAGCTGTGACACTCTATAATTTATGTGCCATTAACGGTCGTAGCTGTTGGGGGTTTCTTAATTAATATAATTTCTGCGGGGAAGTACCTATGAGTTTGAGGTATTAAAAGGATGTGACGTCATAAGAACACATTCGGAACAAATAAATAACTAAAGCAATTAGGGAATCACATTCTACACCAATCGCGAACCGACCACCTCAACCATATTGAAGAGAGTTGCATACGGTGCTGCGTACTTCTGTATAGGAAATGAATAATGTCCAGCATTTCCTTTACAACATTAAACTTACACAATCAAGCGTTTTCTTTTACACAAATTCCTTATAAGTTCCGTCAACAAGACAGACGAAAAAATTGGTGACAAGAACACAGATTAAGGCATAAACCAGGCCACTACACAACACTAACAAGACAATTAGGGACATACAAAGGCAATCGGAAGCAAGCAGGGCCATACAAAAAACCACTCCCCATATCTATTCAAATCTAAACATATTTACAAAAAGGACACGACGTCCTTAGGAATCACGTTACACTTTGCAACGTCAAAATACCCTCAGGCAAGAATGGGCGGCGAGGCTTTGTGAAAGTTGAGGATGTAAAAGAGCGTTTTGACTTGAAGGGGATCGTATGGCCAAAGGCTCTTAGGAACTATTTCCTTGCGCACCTCTCCACGAGCTATATTGAATGAGGGAAACATAGCGTCGCGGAACCTAGGCCTACCCCGCACACCCAGGATCCCAGATAACATCAAAATAACTGGCCTTATCGATAGGCTCTATCCAAAAAAAAAAAAAAAAAAAAAAAAAAAAAAAAAAAAAAAAAAAAAAAAAAAAAAAAAAAAAAAAAAAAAAAAAAAAAAAAAAAAAAAAAAAAAAAAAAAAAAAAAAAAAAAAAAAAAAAAAAAAAAAAAAAAAAAAAAAAAAAAAAAAAAAAAAAAAAAAAAAAAAAAAAAAAAAAAAAAAAAAAAAAAAAAAAAAAAAAAAAAAAAAAAAAAAAAAAAAAAAAAAAAAAAAAAAAAAAAAAAAAAAAAAAAAAAAAAAAAAAAAAAAAAAAAAAAAAAAAAAAAAAAAAAAAAAAAAAAAAAAAAAAAAAAAAAAAAAAAAAAAAAAAAAAAAAAAAAAAAAAAAAAAAAAAAAAAAAAAAAAAAAAAAAAAAAAAAAAAAAAAAAAAAAAAAAATGAACACCCCGACTCCAAATTTATCCCCTGTTTTAATTAATTTAAGTGGAATTAAGAATTTACCCGTGGGATAGGGGTATTTTAGTCATTTTCTTACCCGGAAGGAATTTGAGAATTCCGGATGTACCGTTGCGTAGAGCACGGCGAGATGAGTTCATAGACACGTAGTGGGCTCGAATCGGAGTTGTAACGAGAGAGATATGATCAAAAGAAGCTCAGTGGCATAATCGTAAATATTTTGAAGTGGGATTTTTGGTTAAAAGACGGAATTGCCCCCGTCTCTCACACACACTCTCTCTCTCCCGCGCGTCCCTCTCTCTCTCCTCTGGTTCGCGACCGCCACCACAGCCGGCCACGTTTTGGCCGGCCGTTCAGTCATCCGGCCACCACTCGGGTCGGGACCGGTCCCAAAATGACCGGCCTGACTCCGCCGTCCTACCCCACCTGTTCTCCGACGTCAGCCGGCAGCGATACCGCCGGAAAGTGCAGAAAAACGGCCGGTTTTTACCCAGATTTTCCGGAGCTCGTTCCGGCGATTCCGGCCACCAAATCTTGCGATCAAGGTATGGTTTCTCACCTATTTTCCGAGCTCTAGCTGCCTGTTGGGTAGGAATTGATCGATTTGTAGCGTAGGCAACTCGATTTACGAATTGGGTTTCGGCCGGATTTCGGGATGAGATTCCGGCCACTTCCGGTCAGATTTTGGGGTATGCCCAAGAACAAAAGTGGCTCAGAATAGGGTTTTACATCTAGGATAGGAAGCTTGGCCGGCGGTTTGGAGTTTTCCGGCCGCCGAAAATTACTCAAGGCACCCACGCGCTGCCGGCGCGTGTGGCGGCGCGTGGGCTAGGAAAATGGACCGGCTCGAGGTTCTAAAATGATCCTCAGGTTGTCATGAGCGCGTAGGTGTGCTCGGATCTTATTTTGGGTACCGTTAGAGTCCCGAACGGATATCGCATATCGCGTATTTTCCGGGTTCGCTAGGTTTGGACCGTTGGATGGTCCTGAAGTTATAATATGTTGATCTGGGTATTACCAGGATCGTGTAGGATTTGACGGATCGTAAAACGGAGTCCCGGATACTCCGGAAATGCCAACCCTGGGGTTAGGGTTTTAGTAACCGTCCGATCGTGCGATCGTGAGCGATCCAACCGTCCGATCTGGACCAAACTTGCAGGACGTGCATCCTAGAGCCTATAGAACCTATAGGAACTTTCAGATCGGAAATTGGAGGTTGTGGGCCCCGCAGGCCCGTTTGACCCTAGGTTGACTGTGAGACCTTTGGGATAGTTCTACCTTCCCAGGAGGGTTAGGATGACCTTAGTGACAGGTCTTGAGCGTTGTTGAGTTAAATGGATATTGTGGGTGTAGGATGTAAATTGGTGAATTTAAATGTGGGAGTTTATGGAATATTTTATTGGTTGATGTTATTGTATGATTAGAAATTCCTTGATATATTTAATTGGTTGTGTGGATGTATAATGATATATAAGGAGATTGAATGTTAGTTTACAGTGCTATACGCACTACTCCACGTACCCCCCATATTGTGATTATGTTGAGGCCCAGTGTGAGGTCGCACGCGTCTTTGGGTTAGCCGGCGTGTTGACAGGCCCCGTACGTGGCCGGGTACGTCCCGACGTATGAGTGGGTGATATGATGGTATAAGGGCTGGTGAGAATGTAGCCAGGCCCAGTGTGAGGTCGCACGCGTCTTTGGGTTAGCCGGCGTGTTGACAGACCCCGTACGTGGCCGGGTGCGTCCCGACGTATGAGTGGGAGTTATGATTGTGTGAGGGCTGGTGAGAATGTAGCCAGGCCCAGTGTGAGGTCGCACGCGTCTTTGGGTTAGCCGGCGTGTTGACAGACCCCGTACGTGGCCGGGTACGTCCCGACGTATGAGTGGGAGATATGATGGTATGATGGCTGGTGAGAATGTAGCCAGGCCCAGTGTGAGGTCGCACGCGTCTTTGGGTTAGCCGGCGTGTTGACAGACCCCGTACGTGGCCGGGTACGTCCCGACGTATGAGTGGGAGATATGATTGTGTGAGGGCTGGTGAGAATGTAGCCAGGCCCAGTGTGAGGTCGCACGCGTCTTTGGGTTAGCCGGCGTGTTGACAAACCCCGTACGTGGCCGGGTACGTCCCGACGTATGAGTGGGAGATATGATGGTATGATGGCTGGTGAGAATGTAGCCAGGCCCAGTGTGAGGTCGCACGCGTCTTTGGATTAGCCGGCGTGTTGACAGACCCCGTACGTGGCTGGGTGCGTCCCGACGTATGAGTGGGAGCTATGTGATTATGTTGGGTGTGTTGTGATGGATAAACCCGAGAATGTATGAATTTATATGGATGTCAAAGAAACCTGATGTCTGAGTTACTGAAAATAGAGTCGGCGCTTCAGGTCCGTTTCTCAATTAAGTAACAGAGCTTCTTGGTTGGTACTTAGTACTGTTTGCTACAATTCTTTACAATTTGGTTGAAGAAAATGAAGGCTTAGTTCACTTCAAATTGAACCATCAAATGAGTTTTTGGCTCCTCTTGAGGAATGCAAGTAATGACTTATCAAACCATTATGTTCAGTTCCAAGTGAGGAATGATATATTGGTACTGAAACTTAAAACATCAACGGCTTCCACTTAATAAAGGCTAATGGTATGTCGTCAGAAGGCAATACCTTTTGTGTAGCAGTCAGAGTACTCCCTTTGTTATCCAGACAAGATATTACAAGTTGTTCAAGAAGTTCTGCAGTCACTATGCCATCTTGAGGGGCGTCTAAGGAGGCCTGTCAGACAAGATATTACAAGTTGACTAACATATATTTTGCGTTATGAAATTTTTGTTCAACTTGATGATTCTAAAATTTTACTCTTCATGCATTATACATAGTAACATCTAATGATAATTGAAACTTACTTGCCAAGTCTTGACAACACGTTCGGTCCCGCTTGAGAAGCTGGAAAACTCCATGTCTTCCTCACCAAAGTAAAATCCTAGTTTTTGCGATGCTTCCTGTCAAATAACAGGAACATTATATTAGAACAAGTCGAAATCACAAATATTACATCCAAAAACGAAGCAAACACTAGAAAAGGAAATAACCACACAAACCCAGTTACAGAAAAAGAAAAGAAACAAAAGTTAACAACTTTCTATACTAAAGAGAAAGTTAATACCCCCTTGTAAGTCGTAAAAAACTGTATGCTGCTCAGTTTTCAATTTGCCAAATTTAAAAGTACCAGTTTGTAATTCAAAGACAACACTAAATCATAAACAAAACACAAGAAATGAATGATAGACTCCGAAAAATCAAAACTCGCATATCAAAAGCAAGCAGACCTGCATAGCTCGGACCTCTTCACCTTCCGACCCCTTCCTCAAAGCATTTCTGCTCTTCTTCTTCTCCTTCACTTCCGGAACGGCTGACACCTCCTCAATCTCCTCCTGAATATGGTCCAATTATACGGCTCTGGAACTCGACCCTGTCTCCGATATCAGAATTTTCTCGGTCAAAATCTGCAACGAGCCGGCGATGTGGGGCTAGGCGGGCGCTAGGCTGCTAGGCAGGGGCTAGGCGAGTGCTAGGCGGGCGCTAGGCGGCTAGGCGGGGGCTAGGCGGGTGCTAGGCGGCTAGGCGGCTGGGCGGCCTCCTAGGCGGGTTGGGTCTTTTTACGATGCCGAACTTGGAGGACGAAGCAGCCGAAACCGAAGAAAACCAATCGGAGCTTTAGTTTGATAGAGAAGCGAAATGGCTATGACTGCGAATGCAAGCTTCGTGTTAATATTTAGGGAAATATGCTGGTGTAATCAGCTTTTAGAAATAGTGTGCTGAAATAATCAGGCTACAAATTGTATTCTAATATAATCACTTGGGGACGTGAAATGACCGAAAGTGCCCTCCATATAAAAGCAGATGTATCAACCCTTTAGCGCCTCTTTCTTCTGTGTTTTCTTCTTTGTTCTGTTTTCGCAGTTTGCCAAAAATGGGGGAACTCTAGGTTGCGAGACATTTTGGCACTGAGCAATCCAGTTCGCAACCCATCCATAGTCACAACCCAGATGTCCTAAACTTTCGAACCCTAGTTTGACCGTAGCGAAGCCGGCGGAACGCACCGCCTCCATTGTTGACCTCCAGATCGAAGTGACTGTTGCGACTCCACAGAGAAGCGAAAGTGGCGACTTCCAGCGTCGTCGTGAACGGAGGTGAGTTCAGATATTGGTTTGGTAGTGTATGTGTATAATAAAATCGTGCATCCCCTTTTCACCACAGAAGGGCCGAAGAGCTTCAATTTTCAGTTTGAAGGCGTTATGATATGTTGAAATTCATAGTTTGTGTTGTTATCTGCAGTGGGATGTATGTGGTAAACTTGAATTTTGGTTAAAATTGACGGAATGCTTGTATAATGTAGTGCAATGTGTTTGATAATGGGCAAAATAACAGCACACAGAAAAATCATATGTTAACTGTGTCTGGCCTAAAAGTAGGTTTGTTAGGGTAGTTTTTAGGCTGAATGTAGATGCTAATGTGGGGAATTTATTGGCATTCTGGGTTTGTTTTGGTAAGAAGTAAAGTTTGTGTGTTTTGGTTTCCAATTTGGTAATTGAGCTTATACCACATAATATGTTTTGTATCACAACCTGAGCCTTTTGTTGAAGTTGTTTACATTTGTTAGAGGTTAGAGGGTTCATATTGCTGCCATGGTATGTTTATATGAGTTTGTTAATAACTTGGAACCCACAGCTATGTACAAAATCAGAGAAAAGACATAAATGAATAAAAGTTCCTTGTTGAAGCAGCTACAATTTGAGTTTTGAAGATTTGAGGATTTATAAAATGATACGTGTAGTGGAATGATTGTTGTGTATGTTTTTATTTGTTTGAATGTATCTTTTTTAGTTTTATTCATTGCTGTAGTAACTATCTATGTTATTTGCAGAAATGGATACTGTTGGAATATTGGTATGCTACAATGGAAGTTGGGTTAAGAAGGATAACATTGATAGTTACGAAGGTGGGGAGGCTAAAGGCATAATAGTGTCACGGAACGTAACGTTTTCCGACCTTGTTCAGCGCATTTATAAGATCATGGATGCAGATCCCACGAAATATATTGTCACACTGAAGTATTCAGTTCCTGTATCCTCTGTAAGCACATAAGGGTTGAAGACAATGATGATGTTAAATATTTTGTAAAGTACAACACAGATGTTATGGCCTCTAAAGTAACCCCTTTAGTAGCAAGCTTGAAAAATATTGAAGGTCATGGTATTGAAGGGTGCAATGGCATTGTAAGCGTTGAGAGTAGCAATGCTCCTGCTGACTTTGTTGTGGAACAAAGAAATGTGGTAATTCGGGACAATGAAACTGAAAATGGTGGGAATGATTTTAATTGGAGTGATTGGGTTGAAGAAGTGAATTTTGAAAGTGGTGAAAACATAGTTGCTGATTTCAATGAACCTAGCAACGAAGAGGAACCGCAATCTGCTCCGATTTTGCATCCTCATGAGGACAGCAATGTCGAACCGTCCACTGTGCAGTGTAGACAGGTGCAATCCGAACCTCCCCGACAATCAAGTTCGACTGAAATGCATACAAGTCGGGGTGATTTGAAGCATGGTCAAAGTTTGGAATATATTCAGTATGGTGGAGGCGTTTCGTGCATAAATTGGGAAGCAAATTTGAAGGTTGGCCGAGTTTATCCAAATAAGATTGCCCTTTTAAAAACCATCAGTTTAGCAGCAATTACAAGCCACTTTCGATTGAGAACTGTCCAATCTGGGAAGCATCGGTTGTGTGTTCGCTGTTGGCAGCTTCCTTGCCCTTGGAAAGTTCGGGCATATAAAGTTGGATTACATGAGTTTAAGGTTGTTAAATACGATCCACTTCATGAATGTGATCTAAGGTATGTCAGTAGTCATCATCCTCAAGCTACGACTGAATGCTGTCTGACTGTGTTAAGTGGAGATTTCAGGATTCGCGCAGCATTTATACAACAGCTGATATCAAGAAAGATGTGAAACAAAATTTCGGCGTGAGCATAAGCTACTCTACAGCGTGGAGAAGCCGAGAGTTAGCTTTCAAAAGAATTAGTTCCCTTCCTATTGTTATGAATTGGAGCGTACAAATCCGGAACTTTGACATACATTGAGACTGATGTAGCTGATCACTTCTTATATTTTTTTATGGCAATTGGTGCATGCATACGAGGATTTAAGTCGTCAATGCGGCCCGTGATTGCTGTTGATGCTACCCATTTGAAGTGCAAGTATAAAGGTGTTTTGTTTGTTGTGACCGCATTTGATGGAAATCAGAACATATATCCTGTTGCATTTGGGATTGGAGATTTGGAGACGGATGCAGCTTGGGAGTGGTTTTTGAGAAAACGACATTGTGCAATTGGTGATTGCTCGAATCTCGTTGTCATATAAGATCGCAAGGTTAGCATACAAAATGCGTTGCGTAGAGTTTTTCCTGGGGCGAAACATGGTATTTGCTTTTATCACTTGAAAGGCAATATCAAAGCCTCATTTAAGTTGAAGCAGTGGGATCCGATATTGGGGTATTTTGTAAGGGCAGCTAAGTCTTATCGTCTAGCAGAGTTCAATCATCACTTTTCCAGGATAAACAATGACAGGGTGCGAACTTATTTACTACGTGCAGGCGTCCAGAAGTGGTCTCGGGCCCATTGTGATGGACGACGATATAATGTGATGACAACGAATATTGTGGAGTCCATTAATTCAGTTCTTCGGTTTGCAAGGATGCTTCCGGTGCTACACTTAATTGACGAAATTACAAATCTACTTCTCTTTTGGTTTAGGCAACGTCGAGAGTTAGCAATGAAATCTCATTCTACGTTGTGCCCTGATTTAGGGGAAAAAAGTTAAGGAAGAGGTTAGACGCTGCGTCAAGGATGAATGTGGTCAAAATCAATAATGTCGAGTTTAATGTTCTGGATGGTGATTTGAACGGTCTGGTGCACTTGCAAAACCGTAGTTGTACATGCAGGAAGTTTGACTTGGAGCAACTCCCGTGCAAGCACGCTATTGCGGTATGTCGGCACTTGAAATTGAACCCCTACTCCTTTGCCTCTTCTTATTATACACGAGCTACATGGGCAGCTGCATATGCTGAATCTATTTATCCTATACCACCTGAAGGCACGTGGGTTATTCCCGAAAATTTGAAGAAGGTCAAAATCCTCCCTCCTCTTTGTAAGGTTATGCCGGGCCGTCGCAAAACGCAAAGAATAGCTTCTAAAGGAGAGGAGTCCCGTCAAAAAAAATGCTCAAGGTGTGGTGTGAAGGGCCACTACCGAAGTACATGCAAACAATCTGTCCCTCTCACCAACAAGCAGCACGTTGCGTAGATGTTACACTTGTTTAGTTTCTACCTCTGTTTTGGTCAACTGCGAAGTTGATGAATAGCTTCGGTGATGCTGCAGGGATGGAAGTCGGTCCACTCAACGGTCATGTGAAGCATATGGAACAAGGTAACAAGTCCTTTGCAATGAGAGCCTATTATTAGTAGAAATTGGTGAACATACAGTGCCATCACCACAGTGAAACCAGTTGTAAATTAACAATGTTCCACTGGCCAATGTGTGTTTCAAATTAGCATTTCTATTCGTTTGTTATGTACCTTTGATTTGAAAATTGAATTGAATTTGATTTGGTGTTCTCTATTGTGATTGTAGTCAAATTCGCATAAATTGCTTTCCTTTCCTAGACAACGTCATGTATTCCTGTCTGTATATTCACACTAGCGTCATGCTGCTGTCCTTTTGTTGCGTCCAAAATGAAAGGGCCTAGAAGGCTAACTACAATTGCATCTCGTACATAAAACTCCTTCAAATGCAAAGCTTACGCAATTACTGTGATACTGGTAGTACTTCATGATTGCTCATTGTTCTCATCGCCATAGAATAGAATATATAGAGAATTTTTGGGAAAGTATACATGCAGCTACACATGGTCAACAGATCGCGATATTATCTATAATATCGCAATCTATTGTGATGTGAACTTTAAATAAAAAGCATTATTCACTTGAAGTCACACACACAGAGGATGAAACCCTTCCCCCCTTCTAGGTTCTGAGCTACTTAACCACAACGGCAGTCATCGCTTTTTGATTACTGACTATGGACTCTGGTATTTATAAGTGTTCGAACCTGTTTTGAAAAATAAAAATTATTTACTTAGTGTTCTATATTGTTGCTCAAATATTTTATTACTTGATGTCATTCATTTCTGTCCTATTTAATCCATTTCATGTTATTGCATCTTTAATTCGAAGGTTCATTATAAGTACTGAAATTACTATCCCTTCAAATTGTTGCTTGTTTACTTAAATGAACACCCTCCTTTTTTTATTTCGTATTTAATTCTTCCTTTCATAACTGTATTTTTGTTCCACGTAAAAATTTGCATGTATGTATACTGTCCGTGGTTTGTATGGCATCGATATCTTTCCGATCTTTCCATGGATATTTCCGTGCTTCAGAACCACCAAACTTTCCTAAACCCGCCATCGTTACGACCTTTGCTACAGTACCTCTTCACCATTACTCAAATAGAGAAGCTATATTTTATGGTGCCAATCAATAAAGCATCAATAAAAGCACAATATACCTACCCTACGATCACAATATCAGACAATACAATAGCAACACAAAAGCAATAAAACAACAATATAAGTATTCTACGATTCCAATATGAGACAATAATATACCAATACACGAACAATATAAGTACTTTATGCTTCCAATATGAGGGCAATAAACATACAATAAGCACACATACAGTACAGAGCACTTTACATTTATACAAACTTAGTAATTTGCCACTCAACCGTGAGAATAAGTGGACGGCGTAAACAAGGCACCACATTCATACAAAATTCATTTCGTGTCCACAAAATGCTTTGAACCCGTACTTACCCTGACCCAGCTACACAGACCCTACCAAAATCCAAATGGTTACAGGTCCATCATTAGATCCATGTCCTTGTTCTTCTTCCTCGCTGCATGCACAAGGCTATGATCAGCCATTCCTTGGCCACAGCTATTCAGCACCTGCCAGACACCAGCAACATCTATTTGGCTCCAATTGTAGTCTGGTGAGATGACGGAAGCATAATCTCGAAACATCTCGAACCCATTGTTAAAAGATTCAACCATTTCATGGTTAAATTCTTCAGATTCAATGAATTTTTGCACAACATCTTTCTTTGTTTCTTCCAATTTGACCTTCAACCACTCTAACTTTGCCCTCCAACTTTTGTCTTTCATTGTTTGCTTCACTTCTCTAGCATATGCTTTGTTCAGCTTGTTCGTCAAGTTTCCCATCACCTGGCCATGAATATCACATTTCGTTTCCCACCAATCCGTAGCCGCACACAAATATTGGAGGTCCTGCTTCACTTCAGCAATTTTGTCTAGTGGATCATTGTTGTGAGCCTCACTTCCAGATGACGTGGGATCGTTATTTGGAGTCCCAGGTGGAGATGGGAAAGGGACATGCCATGGCTGGTCTCCCGGGTAACTACCATGGTCGTTTGGAGGGATTACGTCTGCCATCTTCAACTATGGATGGCGAAATTGCACACATGCACCGTGCAAAACATTTAACATTAGGTTCAGTTTGTAGTTTTTTTTCTTCGTAACCAACAATAGGGTGAGCTTTAGTATAGCTTTGCTCTCTGCTATATATGGAGTACTATGTTTGATATGGAATTCAATGAGTACGTTAAACCCTCTTATATAGAGGAAGTTGTGTATTTTATACTTATTTCAAATTGGTCATTGCAGGTCAGTCTGCACCCTGTCCTCTTTGTAATTAATGAGAGCATTGTAAGATGCTCATTACAGCCTTACCAAATACGAATAAAGGTATGTCAACGGTGGAATAATTGGCCGTACAAATATACACACCTAAATAACTGTGAATACACAATAAACACAACCTTACTAAAAAACTGTATACTATCTTACTATTCAAGGTCCTGACATAGTAATACTACAAATGACGACCAAGTTCCCTAATTATCAATTTACGAAATATACACAAATGTTTATAAATTATTCAGTATTCCCTACAAATGACGAGACTATATTTTGTCCATATGAGAAAATTAAATTACACGAAAACAGTCATATACAGTCCCGACCCACATTTCAAGGGGAAGTTAACGTCAAGTGGGCGGAATACACATGAACTTATTTGCAAATATCAAAATTCACAATTCGGATTTTACCGATATATTAAAAAATGGAACTCATCTACATCAGTTATTTGGAAGACAGCAACAAAGAAATTCGAAACACATATACTTTCATGGTCCTTTTTTGTAAACCTCTGCATTTGTACTTTGTCAAATGACCGTACTCATAAATTTGGGACATTTTGTACTTTTGGGACATTTGTACTTTTGGTACACGAGGGAAATTGGTCAAAGAGGACAAAAGGAATAATTTGCAAATACAACAAAGGTCCCATACAACAAACACCAACCAATAACCTAATTACACAAACCCCAAGTGTAACGTGTTGGCCAACAATTGGAGCCAACCACTCCTGCCAAAAATTGGAGCCAACAACTCCCGCCAATAACTCCCGCCAGTTGCTGACTGTCATTTACTCCTGCTCATTATTACCTCCCACCATTTAATTGTAACCCAGCTACATCCACCCAACATTTCCATCACATTTACTCCGTCAAACCCCCCTTGCTTGCTCAACAATTTCACCCACATCACAATTACTTCCAGTTTGGGCAAGCTAATGCCCACACGAACCCGCAATAAATACCCAACACCCATGGACCGAAACCCCACACCAAACCCAACCCTTGCCATTACTGAAGGAGGGGACAATGACACACCTGCGAAATCAGCAACAGAAGACACTGAAGACTGGGTCCATGGACTGCAGCAATGTCGAGCCAATACCATGTTCTGGAAAAATCTCCATGCAGACATAGTGTTAAAAATTAAAGAGGGCCAAGCTAGGTGGGGTATCATAAAAAACCGCACAATTCGGGCGCGTTATGAAGCCCGGATGCATCTCCTACATATAAAGGCTGTCATAGCTAAAATTGAAAATGCCCCTGCCACTGCAGTTCTTGTATTCAAGGAATCTGACGAAATGGCTCAGTTGAAGCAAAAACAACTGCAATCTGGTTTCGAACTATTTAGGAAGTTTGCAAAAATTGTGGATGCAGAAGGAAAGTGGGACATCACTGTGGGAGGGGTCATGAATTTAATGGGTCGCGGTCGCCGCATTTGAAGGGTATGCAACTCGAAATGTGTCCACAGACAGAAGGTATGACTTGTAATATGACCATGTCAACGGTTTAGGACAAACTTTGTATAGTGGAATGGAAGTATGACTTGGCCTCTTTTTGTATTATGTGCGGATGAAAATCCTGTTTATGTATTTATTTTGTATTAGATAAGTTTGAGGGGGCCTCTTGTTTTGATATGTATAATGTAATCTTCAGGTGCCATCTTTGTTAACATTGTATTAAGTAAGTTTGTGGTCACCTTTTGTGTTGTTTTGTTTTTTTAATATTTTCTTTTATGTAAGTTCACGCTGGGATGTTATTTTATTTTGTATTCTGCCAGTTTGAGGAGGCCTTTGTATTCTGATTGTTCCTGTTGCCTTCTTTGTATCAAGTATGCTGGAAGTTTTAAAACAGCAGTTGATGTAATTTGGATGCATTCATTTCAGATCCGAATTATAACGTAATTACCTTCCACATAGTTCAACTTTGTACACTTGTCAAATGACATTGCAAAACCAATACGGAAGACAGTATAAAACAAACAATTTAGAATAGCAGTACCAACCGAAAATAATGCACAGGTTACATTGCAATGCCAATATACGTGCAATATCATGCATTAGAAAACCAATAAAGAGCATTACAAACCCAATAGAGAGGCAATAGCAAACCAATATAGTTGCACTATAACACCAATACGTCAGTAATAAACCAATATACACGCAACGAAGAATTAACATGTACTGTATTTCCAAGTGTATACCATGCCGTATGTAGATTCCAAAATAAGGGTATGAATAACATTCCAATTGGATTAGGCCCTCAGTGTTGCCTATGGTAAAGTTTGATATGTTGTATAAAAACCACCCCATAAACTCCAAGTTTCATGTTGGTGCGCTCACGCGGTTTTATTTTTGTTCTTGAGTCAATTTATGATATCCATTCTGATCCAGTCGAAATAGCCAAACACTATTTTCCCCCTGGATTTCATTATATGCCTCCTAGTTCATATAAGTCTCTCAAGTATTATAGAGATATATTACTTAAATATATATATATATATAATAAAGATACAGTTCCAGGTTTGTGTAAAACATTTATTAAGCGGAAATGACAATGAATCAGGTAGCATCGGTCATCGGTCGTAGAACCATTCTGCCATCATCCTTTGTTGGAAGCCCACGTGACATGTACCAACGGTATCAAGATGCGATCACTTTGGTTCAAAGATTTGGCAGGCCAGATCTATTCATTACCATGACATGCAACCCAAATTAGGAAGAAATTAAGAGAGAATTACTCCCTGGACAAACGCCGCAAGATCGTCCCGACTTACTCACTAGAGTGTTTCGTGCAAAATTGGAGGAACTAAAAGAAGACATCAATGGAAAAGGGGTAATAAAGAAAAAGACAGAGAATGGTGAAACATTCAAAAATTCCAAATATGCCCTTTATCAAACAAAAAATTAAAAGCACCCAATTTTAATTAAATCAGGGTATAATTGTAAAAGAATAATTACGCATAACTTTAAAAAAATTAAAAAGAAAAGAAAAAGGTACAGACCCTCACTGCAAGCAGTTGCTCTTCTTATCAGTTTCTTCGGCCTCATCGTGTTCTAGGAGCAGTTCCAGTAGCAGTTCCTTTAAGTTTGCCCCCCACTTTCTTCACACCCAATTATCATAGGCCTTTCTTCTTACAGTGTGAAAAACAGAAAGAGGAGCAGAAAAATAGAGAACCACAACGCTCCTTGCCAGCTTCACCAATTTCCCAGGTTTCCCTGGGTGGGTTAATTTGATGCCTTATGTTTTCCCCCCTTTACTTTTACTGTTGTTTTGGTTTCCTCATAAAATTTCTCATTTAATTGGGTTCCTTCCCAACATCTCCAGGAACACAGCATCTCCAAGAATTAAACACCTGCGATTTCAACTGAAAGTTTAGAAGGTGGTAAGCCTAACATATCTTTCTTTCTTATTTGTATTATATTCTTTCTTTGATTGGGTTTTGTGATCTTTCACGTTTAGAGAAGGTTTTAGAGGAAAAGGTGTTTGTTGATGATTTTCCATATTTCTCTATCGTGTATGTTGAACGGTTCTGATGGCTTTTGTGTTCATATCAGATCCATGTCCAAATGAATTACAGTGGGTAAGAGATTTTTGAGAAACTTACTCCTTTTGCTGCATGCTCACCATTTATCGGATTGATTTTTATTTGCTATATGTGAAATTTAAGATATGAATGAAAGTTTGGTTATTCAACTTATATTTAAACTTGCCATAACTTATAGATTGTCTTAAACTGATGACAATGATTACTATTGCTATATTTCTACTATTATTTTATATATATATATATATATATATAGGGGCGGATCCGTGGCACCATATTTTTTACACAAGTTTTGACACAATTTTTGGGCCATTAGATTAGTCCACTTTTAATGGTTGAGATTACATATGACATGGAAAAACAATATTTTTTTTCTTTAATTTATATTTATATATTGGAATTATAATTAAGAATTCATTTCCTCTCATCTCATTAATTATATTTAATTAATTCATTCTCTCTCTCTTTCTCTCTCTCTCTCTCTCTCTCTCTCTCTCTCTCTCTCTCTTTCTTCTACAGAGAATTCACGCCTCATCCTCTGCCTCTGCTTCTTCTCTCTCTCCGGTCCCTTCTCATCCCCAAAGCCAGCCACCCTCAACACCACCACCACTCCAACCCCTACCCTACCTAAACCACAAATCACAGGGACTCTCTCTCTCCTTCCTCTCCAGTAACGCCATCGTTTGTGGACAAGGAAAGAGGGATTTTGAAGATCACCGATCTTGGACTCGGCTGTGCCTTCACTGTACCTCGCAAGAGTTACACGCACGAGATTGTTACTCTGGTACAGAGCACTGGAAGTTCTGCTCGGTTCAACTCATTACTCTACCGACGTCGATATGTGGTCCGTCGGATGTCTTTTCGGTACTTAATTCTTACTTGCTCTCACAATTTCTTTGTTTTCGTTTGGATTTAAAGTCTCAATTAATGACTTGTTAACTAATTAATTTGATTGATTGTGCTAATATTTGATTCTTAAGTCACTCTCAAAACTTACCTCTTTTCTTGTATTTGAGTTTATGTTTGGTGAATGTAATATGTGTATCGTGCTCTGAAGCATATGCTTGGAAGTCTCATCCAGCTTATTTGCCCATTCATTAGAGTTCTTGCCTAGTTCTTACTTGTTATTGGAGCCACTCTGCAAAACTGTGTTGAAAGTTTTCACTTCAATCTTATTTGCATTTGATTATCTGTGTATGTTTTACTGCCAGCATTGAGTCTTATTTATTAATCCTCATATGCAACTATAAAATTGGCAGGGAAAGAGTAGAAAACGAGCCATAATAAGATATCTGCTCTTGCAAAAAAAGGCCAGAAAAGGATGTCAAAGTTTCCACTGTGATGGATACTAAGAATGTAAGTTAATGAACTGGTTTACGGGTTTTTTGGTGCTTAATTTTAGTTTGTGCTACTTATAATTTATTTAACAGAAACTAATGTGACATTTTGTTCTTGCAGAGGCTGAGTTCAAAAAACAAAAATCAAGTATGATGCTTTGGATAAATTAAATGAAGAGCTTGTAAGCATCTTTATATATCTTATTTTAAACTCAACTGGTCAAAGCTGAGAAATTTTATGCTTGCAGTTATTGGACTGATAGTTTCCTTCAGCTTCTATTGGCTCTCAGCTAGTATGCTTGTAAATTTTGATATTTTTTCAATATTGTTTCTGAGGCTAGCTTAGTGTGTATGCTCAATGATATGCTTAAATATCTATTTCTGGTTGCTGGTGATTGAGAATTCTATTGCTAATGTGACATTTTGTTCTTGCAGAGGTTGAGTTCAAAAATCAAGTATGATGCTTTGGATAAATTAAATGAGGAGCTTGTAAGCATCTTTTACATCTCTTATTTCAGAATCAATCTTGTTTTATTCATGCTGTGCAAATCCCATATTATGTTCTGTCAACATCTAAGGTCTCGTTAACTGATGCACAGACTACAAGCAACTAAAAGCCAAACAAATCGAATAGCATGTAAAATCAGGGTTATGCACCTGTATTTAAAGAAGGCACAAAGTCTAAATGTGGCAGTCATGGTGATATGCAACTGTCAAATGAGAAGAACAATCGTGATGAAGAGTTTGAGCATGACAGTAATGGATACAGTGACGTATGTTGCAAATGACGAATACAATTTTGATGAATTATGACTCAAATAGTCACTCAATTTTCTTGATTTATATTTTTTTTTTTCATTAATCAGTTGTATCATGTTACGATATATAAGTTAAGCAATTGATTCTTGTGGTTTTTGACAACTTTTTTCCCCAAAAAAAAAAAAAAAAAAAAAAAAAAAAAAAAAAAAAAAAAAAAAAAAAAAAAAAAAAAAAAAAAAAAAAAAAAAAAAAAAAAAAAAAAAAAAAAAAAAAAAAAAAAAAAAAAAAAAAAAAAAAAAAAAAAAAAAAAAAAAAAAAAAAAAAAAAAAAAAAAAAAAAAAAAAAAAAAAAAAAAAAAAAAAAAAAAAAAAAAAAAAAAAAAAAAAAAAAAAAAAAAAAAAAAAAAAAAAAAAAAAAAAAAAAAAAAAAAAAAAAAAAAAAAAAAAAAAAAAAAAAAAAAAAAAAAAAAAAAAAAAAAAAAAAAAAAAAAAAAAAAAAAAAAAAAAAAAAAAAAAAAAAAAAAAAAAAAAAAAAAAAAAAAAAAAAAAAAAAAAAAAAAAATCCTGTGCCCTCCTCAAGGATCGAGATTGAACAAAGTTCTCAAAACACCATGGCCCTGAAAAATTCTTAGCTTTCCATGCCTCATAGACTGCAAGTAAAGTCAGATGATCTCCCTCTGGCTGGAAAAACTTGGCTCTCTTCTGATCTGCCTGGGCTTGTTTTTCCCTAGGCCTGTAAAAAATATTACCAGTCTGAATCATGCAATGAGGGTCAAGATCTCATCACTGCATCCAAGGTCCACACTGGCAATAGCATCTTAGACAAGGGTGTCCAGAGGAAACTCAGCCATTTTCCTACCCAATTTGGTGAGCAGCCCCTCCTCATCCAGTGCCCCTAAACTGCAATTGTTCCATGGCCAAATGAGTGCTTGGGGTGAAGGAGGATCCATAAAATCAAAAGACAGAGATCATTTATCCCCATAGCTTCATCGTAAGTGTAGTAGTCCCAAGATTTATCCTCTGGATTTCTGAAATTGAAGTAGGGGACATCTCATTGCGGTATGCACTCTCAGTGTAGAGGCGGTTATCATTTCCAGGGCCTGTACGCCCAGCTCGTTTGCTTGGCTGATGCTTGGGAAATTGGAGTTATGAACTAGTGAATCTAGCCCCTGCTTTGGGTTGTAACATTTTGCTTTGCAAAACCAGGATCAATGACATAAAATATCCCGCAATGGTCCATGTGAGTTGATCTATAGATTTTTTACTACTTTTTGTTAGTATTTTTAATTTACATTAGCATCTCTGCACGCGCTTCTTTTGAGAGGCTTTATATAAAAAAATTCAAATTAATTTAGACTAAGAAGATAATGGGTATGTTTGTTCTATAAAAATAGAATCTCTATCTTATTTTTCTTTTAATTTTAATTTTTTAATATGAAAAGTGTGAATTTACCATATTATCCTCATTTATTAATAATTCAATTCTTAATGTTGCATTAATCATGACATTTTCTGGTATTTTAAATGTTTTATCATTTTCTGCTTTTGCTTTGTATATATGAATATAGATAATAAAAATAATCCCTTTCATTGAGAAATTGCTATGCATAAAATTGTATGCATACCACATTATATTGGTTTTGAAATGTTATATGGCTAAAAAAAAAATTAAAATGTTATGTTTCGGAATGTTAAATAACGTTCGTCTTTGAAACGATATATCATGCATAAACATGGCATCCATGGAAGAATCCCCATTGTGGAGGGAGGCTCATGACCCCTATCATTTGTATGAATTACTATTTCGGTTAGGATAATTGATAATCATTGAATCATCATAAAATAAATTTTTTTTTTTTTTTTTTTTTTTTTTTTTCCTTTGGATAATATTATGTTTCTAAAGCATCAACACTGTCATCAAACAATATTATCATTCCGGCATATATTAGTGACTAAACTCTTCTAAGTAATTTCCAATTATCAGACAAGGAGTTAGTAATCGTAGAGGAAAATATGCAATTTATATCTCTGGCTTGGCAATTGCATTTTACATACGTTGTTTTCGACACTATGGTTCCATTACTATGTAAAGAGGATCTTAATATTTGTAATTAAAAGATTTTGGTAACCATTTACGAGGTTTTGTAACTGCATACAACGTTATGGTTCCCCTAATCTATAATGTTGTGAATTCCTTTTTTAAAAGGATGTGGATCCACATTACAAGAAAATGGAAATAATAGACCTTAGGAATGTAAAATGGGGTCCTTATTCTAGCAAAGAAGAGGGTTACAAGATTAAGGATCGGTGTTACAAGTATTTGGATACAAGGGTACCATAATGCCGTTAATAGGGTTCCTAAATTGCTAAGTTACCACTTAAGGATTCGTGCTACAATGGTTTGGACGTACGAGTTCCATAAACTTGTAAAGTGGATCCTTATCTCGTAGCTTACAACATTTGGGTTATCATTTATGATTTTTTGCACTATTATTACAAGTTTCAGTTTGTTCCTAAAGGAAACCTTTAGAAAATCATGAGTTTCATTTGAACATCAACATAGATAAATAAATTGATGGCAACAGAAGCTTAAGCATGCATCTATGAGTTCAAAAACAAAAACTTTTCCCACGAATCTTTTAAGCCAAGTAATAGTTGGACTATTTTCCTAGAACATGCTTCTAAGAAGATTGGAAGGAGGAGTTACCCTTGGTGCGTGCTTTCAACCCTATGATCGAATTCACCAAAGTTGTTGAGCTTGAATGGCTACTTCAAAATCTCCACCTTGTTGTTGAAGCTTGAATGACTCCTTCAAAAAACTCCAACTTGAGAGGTTCTTCAAAAGTTGCCAAAATAGGTAACCTCTAAGTCTCTTCACCAACTAGAGCTTGAAAAGAAGATGATGAGCTTAGTGAGAAGATGATGCTATTATCCCTCACTACGGTATTATGAAAGTGTACAGAGAGTTTTGGAAGACAAGAGCTTTATTTCTCTCTCTTGATTTTCACTAATGACCCCTTAGGCTTCCAAAAGATGATAGTCATCTTTTACTTGAGTCAACTAGCTGACTCTAGCAACCAAAAGCCCATATGAACGCCCATCCCTTGAAATTGGGCCTCTTGGGTTCAATTTCATTTAAGTTGTCATACAACCCAATCTCCATGTCCAATAGGATAAAGCCCAATGAGCCTAGATTCAAAATTCTCATTTAAAGCCTATTCTGACATCACTTGTCGTTCAAATTAATTCCATAATTAATTTTATCTTAACCAATTAACTAAGCTTAATTGATCTCTTCAATTCATCATCTCCATAACTGTAACACCCCGACTCCAAATTTAATCTCATATTTAAATTATTTAAGTGAAATTACGAATTTACCCTTGGGGTAGAGGTATTTTGGTTATTTTCTTATCTGGAAAGATTTTGGGGCAATGACTGCTATTTTTTGGGTAGATCGTACTGAGATGAGTCCGTAGACACGTGGTGGGCTCGATTTGGAGTGTGTAACGAAGAAGTTACGATCAAAAGAATCTTAGTGGTACAATCGTAATTATTTCGAATGGGATTTTTATAATAAATAAAAAACAGAAAACTCCCTCTCTCTCTCTCTCTCTCTCTCCTCTCTTCGCACGTCCGCCCCCCCCCCCCCCCCCCCCCCCCCCCATTGTTCACCGACAGCTATTTTTGGCCACCGCCGCTGCCACGAAGCACCACCGGCCACCAGACCGGCCGGGTTCGAACCACCGCCACCCCAGCAGCCTTTCCCAACCATCTCCGACGTCAGCCACCGCTGGAATCCATCGGAAAAGCCGTGAGAAGTCGTCGGTTTTTGACAGTTTTTCGCCGGCTTCGTTCTCCGTCATCCGGCCATCGTTTCCAGCGAGTGAGGTATGATTTCTCACCTATTTTTCACAATCTAGCTGATGGTTGGGTAGGATTGCATGAATTTTGAGCATAGGTAGCTTGATTTTCGAATTGGATTTCGGCCGATTTTGGGATCGCAATTCCGGCCACTTCCAGTCACTTTTTGGGGTAGGTCCAAGAACAAAAGTGGTTCCAAATAGGGTGTTATACCTAGGACAGGAGTCTTAAGCCGTGATTTTGAGATTTTCTGGCGAGTGGTATCTCTTTGGATACCCACGTGTTGTCGGCACGTGTGGCGGCGCGTGGGTAGAGTGGATGAGCTACATTCTGTCCTAAAATAATCTCCTAGTTTCCACAAGTGCGTAGGTGTGCTCGGATTTCAATTTGGATACCATTTGAGCGTTGAACGGAGTTCGCCTAAACCCTAATGTACGTTGTCCAGGTTCGATAGGTTTGAACCGTTGGATCGTCTTGAATTTAAAGTATGTTAATCTAGGATTTCCTAGGATCGTGTAGGAATTTACGGATTGTGGATCAGAGCCACGGATGTTTCCGATTTAATAACTTAAAGTTTGTATTTATAGTAACTGTCCGATTCGAACCAAACTTGCAGGACGTGTACCCTAAACCTTGTGGAACCCATAAGAACTTTCGGATCGGAATTTGGAGGTCATGGGCCCCGTGGGCCCGTTTGACCCAGTTTGGGTACTTTGACCCTGGGTTGACCATGAGTCTTCCGAGATAGTTTTCCCTTCCCAGGAGGATTAAAATGACAGTATTGGCAGGTCTTGATCGTTTGTTGAGTTATGTTGTTTATGTGGGATTAGGATATTAATTTATTGTTTTAAATTGGGGGGTTATCGGATGCTATAGTGTGGTTGAGGTTTATGAAATATTAGAAATTAATATATATATATATAGATTTGAGAATAAGGATAGAAAAATTCGTATATAATCATAATAGTAACATTCAATCAGGAAATTGTATGATTATCATGTCACACGTGGCGTTGGAATTTTCGGCGTGCTGACACACCTCATACGTGGCGTTGGATTTTCTAGCAATGGAGAGATTATGTGATGGTTAGGTCACACGTGGCGTTGGATTTTCGGGCGCGTTGACAGACCCCGTATGTGGCGTTGGATTTTCAGGCGTATGGGGAAATTATATGATTATTAGGTCTCACACGTGGCGTGGGATTCTTCCGGCGTGTGAGACAGGCCCCATATGTGGCGTTGGATTTTCCGGCGTATGAGGATATTATGTGATTATTAGGGAGATGAATAAAGGATTGTGTTTGATAAGTTGTGATTTAAAGAAAAGGGAAAGGGATAATTGTAGAATCTATTGTTTTGTATTACTGTTATTGATTGTATGTTATTGGAATCGGGATTTCTGTTGAAAGAATTACGTGTGGCTTGATCCCTTAGTAAGGGTACGTAGGCAACCTAGGGTGGTGCCTAGGTGCAGCCGCGGGTTAAATTTTACTTGGGTGGTCTTGTTGAGATTGGTTCTGACCTTGTCGTTGGTCCTAAAACTCGGTTGAAACCGAGGTACGATTAAATATTTGTTCATACTCCCGCTTGGCTAAGGGAGGGTTGGGTGAATGTATTCTATTGAATAATGTATGTGGTCCCAACTTGTCTGAGGTCTAGTTCGGAATAAATGTTGTTTTTTTTAGGTTTGATTATGTGGTATAATGGGCCGAGGCCCCTGGGACTATTGGAGGTAATTCAAAGATGATAGTTGATGCATGCTAAAAAATTTGGGAAGTTAATTTATATTATTTGCTGTGGCCATTTATCAATAAGATTGAGTTTATTGTCTGCGTTGTTTAATGAACTATTTTTATCTAAGAACATTGCTAGTGGTTCTGGTTTCAATTATGTGAAGGCCGGAGGCCGATTCTGTGATTTGCATGAAATTAATTTGTGCATGCTGCCCGCTGGGATATTAAATTGTGAATTTTGTGCAGGTTAAAATATTGGGAAATGTTCAATTTACAAGGGAGACTGCCAAAATTTTGGTAGAAAGTCTCGGTCTTTAGTAAGTGGGCCTGACATCGGGGTGATGTCGGAAATTTCGCAGGATTTGTCCCAGTTTCTGAGGAATTCGGGGTGGGTCCTGTCAATAACGGTTTCTCAAATAACTCAAGTTTAACGGTGTCCGATCCATTAGGTTCTAATTAGCAAGGTTGTGGGCAATTTGAACTCTTCGTAATTGATTGTGAATTAAAAACCCCTTTTAATTCTCCCTATTAGTTTGGATCATTAGTCCTTAGGGCTTCCACCATCCATGAGTGACACCTAGCAGTATGTCATGGATATCCAAGCGAAGTAGAATAAGCTGAGAACCTATTCAATTGGAATTACAATGCAATATGGTCCTTCCCTACTACATGCTCTTAATCTCATTACTACAACATGGTGCATGTCAAACCCCTAATAAGATTGTCACATCTTATATGATTTGTATTAGTATGACAAGAACATCCTTATAGGTCATACCGAATACTCTTATAAGAGATTTGCTTAATAATATCTTTTGAGCATTCTCCTTCTTTACTGAAGGATAGAGATTCCATGTTGTACACTCACATTTCTCCATGAGTCAACTGAGAACCCCAACAATGCTTGTACCACATCTGTGATTAGGACATGTCTTTATAGCATCATCAAAGATTCATAACCTTCCTACAAGACAACCATGGTGCCACAGGTCCAAGGACTAATTTGCATTATTTCAACTTGGAGTTTCTTGTTTGACATATAAGTAAATTTTCATACAAGAAACTCTCGTTTGATCGCGTTCAGTGAGTTCATTCTCTATTGAGCACTTACATACTTGTCTTAGTGTCTCCACATGAATGACTTGAGACCAGTCATCCTCCCAATCGAGAAGACATAGTATGTATCGGTCTTTCTGAATTATTAGTGCCCATTTGACAATCCTATAACTAGGAACATTTAGGGCACAAGGATAATAGAGGAAAGGCCTCCTGAATCTAACTTCCTTAGATTACTTTCTCTCTATCTCACATCCCTTGAACTTATTGTTTAAGCATGTGTAACTGTTAATGAGACATTTACTAATAAACAATAAACTTGCCCTTTAAGAGAATTAAACATAAGTCAAATACATGAAATATCCTTGAAAAATTACATCATATGATTGGCTTTTAGGGCATATTTCCAACTATTCCTTATCCATAATCTTGTAATACCCTAAATTACAATAGAAAGGATCCCTTTTGCAACTTTAAGGTAAATGTGGACCTTGGAAAAGTAATTGTGGAACTTATTCTTGTAAACACAAGGGTTTACAGTATTAAAGACCCCATTTACAATTTGGACCTCAATCTTCCATACACTTGTAAACTGTATCCATAAAATTGTAATATCGTAATTTACAATAGAAAGGAGCTCCATTACAGTGGACCTTAGAAATGTAAATTTGGTTCTTATTCTTGTAAATGCAACGGTTTGCAACATTAAGGACTCAAATTACAATATTTTGAAAGTAAGCGTTCCATAAACTTGTAAAATGGATCCTTAATTTTGTAGATTATTATATTTGGGTTCCCATTTACTAGTTTTAGCACCATCATTACAAGTTTAAGGTTATTATAATCCATAATCTTGTAATACTATAATTTACATTAGAAATGATCTCTCTTACAATGCTAAGGTAAGGGCGGACCTTGGAGAAGTAAATGTGGTCCTTAGTCTTGTAAATACAATGGTTTACAATATTAAGGACCTTTTTTATAATGTTTTGGAAGTCAATGTTCCATAAACTTATAAAGTGTATTCATAAACTTGTAATATCGTAATTTACAATAGAAAGGATCTTCATTACAAGTTTAAGAAAAAAGTGGACCTTCGAGATGTAAACTTGGTCCTCATTCTTGTAAGTACAAACTATTTACAACATTAAGGACTTGTATGATAATGGTTTGGAGGTAAGTGTTCCATAAACTTGTAAAATGGATTCTTAATTTCGTAGGTTACAAGATTTGAATTCCCATTTACATGTTTTAGCACCATCATTACAACTTTTAGATTCTTTATAATTCATATATAGTAATGTTAAGGTACAACAGTTGGGTACACATTTACGAGAATGTGAACCTCTGATACAACGTTAAGGTACTTAAATCATGGAAAAGAGAAAAAGCAAATGAGAGAGCTCATTTGGCAATTACCAATGAGGCATTCAGTTTTCGCAAATTGGAATCGCAATTAAAGAGTGTCTGTCTATCAACCAACTTGACGTGGCTATGCTATAGCAAAATAAGAGCATTCAATATAAAATCTCCAAAGAACACCCTTACCTTAACTTGTAAAATCTCCAACTTGAGATGGAGTGTTACATTTGTCTTAATTACATTTGATATTATTAAGTGATTCTTCATTTTGATAATTGCATATTAACAATCCAAACGCTGTCGAGCAAATTGGCAATTGCATATTTAAATTTCAAATCCACCTCCCTGTTTAGCAATTGCATGCAAAAAGAGGTGCTTTGCAATTACCGAATAGAGATAGAGTAATTGCATATGTGATGTGGTTACCTGCATGCATGCCCTTTTGTATGTAATTAATGGCTTTGGTTTGGAAATTGGACATTATTACAAGATTATGGTTGACTATTTATGATGTGTTTACTAATCAGGAATTGGAATTCGAATCAGAAAATGAATTCCAATTATGGAAGATTCTTGTGTTTACTTCACATTAGTAAACATGCCATTAGAGTTATAGTGCAAAATAATCTTATTATATTGTAAATGCTAGCAAAAAAATCTAGTAATTCGCATTTCAATTGTTATTTTATTTTTGGTAAAAAAAGTTTAGGGGGTTGATTGACTTGGCTACTCTCACCACCAGGGCCAGGGATTCGCATTTCAATTTAAGTAATCATGATAACATCTGTTTTATCCTTTAATGAATTCAAATGCCAGATTTTTTAGTTAATGGCACACCAATGTCTTCAAGAGAGTTGAGCATGTTCTAAATAACGTGCAACTGTCATACTCAAATTAGTTATTGTAATTTGTACGGTAAAACCAATATTAATGATTCCTGTATGCATTAGTGACTAAACTTAGAGAGGCATCTCGCAATTACCAGACAAGGAGCTAGTAGTGCATATGGAAATTTGCAATTGCAATTTTCATATGCAATTGCATTAATTTATTTTTAATGGTCATATAGAATTTTATGCATAAAAGACACAAGCATATAGTCAAGGATATTTTAACACTATTTTCCACCTCAATGATATTTTAACTGGAATTTCTGTATATTTCAAATAAAAAACTAAATTACATAACTTTAAATACATAACAAAAAATCCAACAAAAAAGGTCTATACCTAAAATAAACTCGGTCTTCAAAACATCATTAGGTTGCATCGTAAAATATAAAATATAAAGATCAGTCTCAACACTTCTCATCTCTTATAGGAAACACATTCAACACCTACAAAGATTATGTATTAACATAAGAACCAGATCCATAGGTTGGACAATATGGCAAATTGATTCCTCCAACCAAGAATTGAAACCTTTGAAAGAATTGCATATCACAAAGACATGGAAAATAAATAATAATGGTAAGGTAATGATAGAAGAAAATTGCAATGGTGGTTCGGCTGCTTTGCTGTGGTTGGTGCGGCGGCAACTTGTTTTCAGTTTTAGGGTTGTTCAGGTTTGAAACTTTGTACGTGGGCCTTGCTTGTCTTACAGTTCTGTTTTGTAATCTTTTGGGCCTGCGTCTTGGGCTTCTACCTAGGTTATTCAGCCTACAAACTCTTGTAATGTTTTTACATATTTAATGAAGGGAGTTTGTTGACCAAAAAAAAATATATATATTTAAAAGGGTTAATCACAGTTTAGTACCCTGAACTTACAACGTTAAGGCATGTTAGTCCCTGCCTTTTCAATTTTAACAATCGCATAACCCGAGCTTGTAAATTTGTTACAATGTGATTCCGCCGTTAAGGTTTCTGTCAGATCTCTCTATTAGTTGCCTACGTGGCACTATGGGGTTCCACATTTTTTCACATTTTTTAATTTTAAATTAATTAAAGTATGAATAAAATAACCAAAAAAAATAAAAATAAAAATCCCTCTTTCTCTCTCTCTCTCTCTCTCTGCATTCTCCCGATCAAGCCTATCTCTTCCCCAGCAAACCTCCATCACAACTACAAACACCAATCCCCTACACCCCGATCCCCAGCCACCACCTCCATCACAACCTCCCTCACCTTCATCCGCAGCAACCCTCTCTCTCGTCACTGCCATAAATTTGGATGGGCCTCCGATTAGACTCCCTCTCTCTCGCTCTCTCTCTCTCTCTCTCTCCCTCGAATTTCTTCTCCTCCCGTCCATGACCACCACCCATAAGCTCCAACCTCCAAACTCATCCCACAACCATCCTCCTCCCCAGCCCGCAACCACAACCCCACGAACCCAGAACCCCAGCCCCCAACCACTCAGACTCCATCCCGCTCCTTCCTTCCAATTTCTTCCCCCTCCTCATTCCTCCCGATTTCTTCCCCTCTCCAGATACCAACAAAGATATGATCAAACAACCAGTGTTGAAATCACAGTAGCCGATTTCTTCCCCAGTAAAGTGATTTTTTCCTTTGCTTTGATTGTGGCTTGGATGTTGATTTTTGATGGGGAGAATAAATCGGAGGTTAGGGAGAGAAGAAATCTGGGTGGGGGAAGAAATTCGGGGGGAGGAAGAAATCTGGGTGAGGGAAAGAAATCAGGGTAGGGGAAGAAATTTGGGGGCCCCAAACTCGACGCTATGAAAAACTCTGAATTCTCTGATTCTCTGAGATCCGCCATGGGTGGGGGAAGAAGAAAATCGCAGGAGGGAGAAGAAATCGCATGGGGTGGGGGAAGAAAAAAATCGCAGGGGGATGGGTTCTGGGTTCGTAGGGTTGGAGGGTGGTTATGGGGGAATGCATTCTCTGATTCTCTGAGATCCGCCATGGGTGGGGGAAGAAGAAAATCGCAGGAGGGAGAAGAAATCGCATGGGGTAGGGGAAGAAGAAAATCGCAGGGGGATGGGTTCTGTGGCTTTTGGGTTCGTCGTGGCTGGGTTCTGGGTTCGTAGGGTTGGAGGGTGGTTATGGGGGAATGCAGAGAGAGAGAGAGATTAATTTCTTTTAAAAGGTTTTTAGTATTTAATTTTAATCAATTTAAAATTAACAAAAATTGAAAAATGTGGAATCCACAATGCCACGTAGGCAACTAATGAAGAGATTTGACAGAAACCTAACGGCGGAATCACATTGTAAGAAATTTAGAAGATTGGGATATGTGATTGTTAAAATTGAAAAGATAGGGACTAACATGCCTTAAGGATGTAATCACAGGACACTAAACTGTAATTAACCCTATCTAAAATGAGTTAAAGAGTATTGTAGTACCAAGCACTACAAAATAAGAATTCACCCATTATCTATACAATATACAAGTGCATTATCACAACTTCGTAAATAACTGAAGGAACCAGTAAATTAGCACATAGAAACTTAGAACAAACAAAATCATCGTATCTCAGAATAGAGGGAGGTAACGTAGTAGAGCAACAACCACACCAATAATAATTACCAACCATTTCTCTTCCTTGGGTTATCTATAAGCTGAATCCCACAAGACTAATTGCATTATAACACCATCAACAACAGAAGTAACAGTGATTAAAAACATAAGCCTAAACTTGATTAGAAAAGAAACATGTATGTATAGGACAAAAAAATACACGTATAAATACAAAGTAATATGGTAGTCCCAAGCACTAGCAGAAATCATTTCCAATTGCAAGTATTAAACACAACCAAATTACATGTGATAGATACGTACATATTAAGCGTTTGTATAAAAAAAAATTCTCAAAAGTCTCACAATCCAAAATTCAGAGATTCAAAAACCAACCAAAACAATCTCTAGCCATTCCCCAAAAATAGACACTACCAGACCAAACATTTTTTTTCTTCATATTTCCAGCTATCTCCGCAATTTTTATTATATATATTTATTTTATAATTCAAGCTTCATTAACGCATCAGCCAAAGACACAAAAGGCCAGCAAAACAAAAGAAATCGACAATCAGAAAAGAAATAAGAACATAAAAAGAGCTATAAACACAAGGCAACCTGAGAACACGAGCAGAGGTTTAGTAACAGCTCAAAAGGAAATCCCTCACGCACAAGAAGCATTGTTGGGACCAACATGAGTCATTCTTGGTGCTCTGCCAATCTATAGTCCTCGCATAGCACAAGAAGCATTGTTGAAATTAAATTAACCAAATTTTTACATTAAAGGAAAACAAAACAATATTATTCATGAGAACAACTAAAAATTTAAGCTTTTTAAGTAGACCCTGGAGCATGTACTAACCAAATGAAGAAAAGTAAATAAACATCTAAGCTTTTTCCCGTAATCCTTTACCTACTACTTGTTGTAACAGTTTTTTAAAAATGGTGCACTGGTGCACCGGGTGCATCGTAGACGTTGCCTTTGTTAGAGACCATGTTGGTGAAGTTTGAGCCCATGTTGGATTGTATTCGTATTGAAAAATTGAAAACTCCCATGGGCCATGACAAAACATGGATCAAACTGGCTATTTTCGTGGGTTATAAAAATGATATTGAGCCCAGAATCTTTTGTGATCCCCTCATTAATCTTGGCCCAATACAACAAACAAAATATGATATTGGGCCTATAATCTTTTTCCTACGTGGGATCTTGATTAAGTTTTTTCTTCATTTTTATTTTTATTCAACACTAATAATATTGGCTAACGATTACTTTTCAAAATAAGAATAATAATAATATTGGCTAACAAAATCGAACATAAAATCTTGACTGCTTATAATGTGTCCTTTTTGCTGTCGTAAAGTTGCATAATGTAGTGTAAACAAAAATTTTCTGAAGGTAAATGCTCTAACCTTGGAGGAAAAAGAGGGCTAAGAAGACTCAGATGAGAAGAAATAATTGTACAAAAAAGTAAAAAAAACTTTAAAATGTTGCTTGCAAGAATCAAGACTACACACACACACACACAAAAAGCCAACGATTGAACTAAAAATAAAAGAGTGAAACGGGAGAAAAGACCAGTCTTACACATAGCTTCTTCAAGGATACTACGCCCGCGTTTGGGAGTGTGGTGCTTCTTTTAGAAGCAGCTTATTTTTAAATTTTTTACACATTTAGGTGTTTGGTAAAGTAGAAGTACAGTGCTTTTTTTCAAAATTATGGGTGACCCACAGCAGTTTTTCAAAGCATGGCTGAAGGTGCTTCTAAAAACTGCTGCGCGGAGAAGCATGCGGAGGCTTTAGTGAAATTTTCATATTACCCATTGCCCTTCTTTGTTTCATACAATTACACACCTTATCCTGTCTTTTTCTCGATCAAAAGTTCAAAACCTAATCTCATATCGCACTCTCCATCTCGATTCCTCTTTATGGTTTCATCCTCTCAATCGGCAAGAGGGGCTACCTGAAGCTGTCTTGATCCAATTCATTCTTTGGCTCTGTTGGAGGGTCTGAGTTTGGCTGTTGAGATGAGGCTCGCGCTAGTTCAGTTTGAGGTTGGATCTCACAAGATTGTTCTGGCTGTTTCGAAGAATATAAAGTCTGCTATGGGGGTCCTAATTGAAGATATCTGGGTGCTTTTGTCGCAGTTCAGTTGGCTTGGCGAGCCTCATGAATTTCTCTAGAATTCATGAAATCTTATTGAGAAAATTGATGGGCGAGACGAGAGCAAGAGGAAGAGGAAAAGTTCTGACAAAAAAAAGGGCTGATTTGTTTTAATTTTCGTTGCTGTACCTTCTCAAGTTTTTTCTGTTAAGTTGCTGATCTAGCATGTGTGTGGAGCCCACACATTCAATAGTGGTATGACATGTTTTTTTTTGGAGTTTCACTAAAACACCCAAAATGGGGGCTGAAATTATAAAAAAACCCAACACCCAAAACACTTTATAAATACACCCAACACCCATCATTACACACACTCAACACCCATTTATAAACACACCAAAAAAATATACAATTATTGATTTTGGGTGTGTTTCTATGTTTAAATAGTGTTTGGGTTTTTTTTTATAAATACATGTCTAGAATTTGGTTTATTTATAAATTTGTATAGTATAAAACCATGTGGCTTTAAATAAAATAAAATAAAATATAAATATTTAAAACTTAAATCAATAAAAAGGAAATAGAAAAATACCTGCACCCTGCATTAAGTTTTAAAATATTTAAAATATATTTTATTTTAAAATATTTAAAATATTTTTCCTTTTCTTTTTTATGGATTTAAGTTTTAAAATATTTAAAATATATTTTATTTTATTTAAAGCCACGTGGCTTTATACTATTGGATGTGTGGGCTCCACACACGTGCCACGTCAGCAACTTAACAGAAAATTTGACGGAAGCTAACGGCAGAGACCATTTTGATGTATAACTTTAAGGACCATCAGCGTCACCAAAAAAATTAGGAACGAAAGGTGATAATTTCGTAAACGTCAGGGACTATTTGTGATAAAAGCCTTTGAAAAAAAAGGAAAAAGTAGAATGAGGGGAACAGGAACCAAAGCTACTATTTCTTTCTTGGGTATACAAGCGATAGTCTCTGAACTAATTTAAACTAATGTAATCTACACAGAAAAGGATTTGAACTTGGGTGGAAGGGGTAAGCTCATCGTCCTAACCAATTAGCCTAACCCACATTTGCAGATGTATTCAAATACAATGAAATAGTCCAAACTACTCTAAGTCTAAACTACTATATTACCTTCCTTTTATAGCCAATATGACTTTTCCCCTTCAAACTAATTATGTCTTACCTACAACCGATCATTTTATTTTTCTATAAATAAAACCCAATTATTATATTGAAAATCCGATGACAGGATCCTACTCATCAATTTACCTAATTAAACTTAAAATCTGATTTATTGTAAAATTTTTAGATCAAAAAATACCCCTAATTAGTGTTTATCAGTATGCACATAACACATTAATGGTGTTTCAATTTTGCATAGATTTAAGAAATTTTAAGTAACTTTTTCCTCTCTTTTTTAAAATCAAATACTCTTTGGAATGTCCCAATTTGACTACTTGATCGTTTATTGTTTTAAATTTTAAATTATTGGTCAGATAATTTTTATATAAAAATTTCAGGTTTTAATAAGTTTTATAGTTTGAAATTAAATTTTTTCAAAGGGAACAGATGGATCTAGAACGATAATTTCTTGCTCCCTCTAATTACCTACATTTTCTTAGGTACATTAAAATACAACAAACTAAAGTAATTAATTCTTAATAATAATAAAAAGAATTATATGGATAATTAATTTAACTATACAATCTCGGTAAATTCTTATACCTACAAAATATAGGTAAATTGGTACCCTTTATTATTTTTATAAAGAACGTGCCTATTTTTCATAAATAATGTACCTATATATTTTATAGAACTCATTTCAATAGTAACTTTCTATTTTTTCTATATAGAAATAATGTACCTATTTTGTCATAATTAATGTAACCTTTTTCTTTATAAATATTTACGTATTTTTTGATAATTTACCCTGTCTTAGATATGTAGAATATAGGTAAATTATTTTTGAGTTGACATGGTCACAATAATTTTTAGGTTATTAAAAATAGGTGTCTATATTTTTGGATTGTAGCTCATTATTCCATTGCTTAAAATTAGGAAGTTAAAAAACTGTCAGCAATTAAAGAGTAATCCAATGCATTAATTGGTAAATAAATCAAATTACATTGACGCATTTTAAAATTGAGTTTTATTTAAAGGTTTTCTTATTGATGGTATGGTCTAGAGTTTTTGAATTGCAAGGGTCTATAACGTGAACCTACATTTTATAACAAATATGTCGATGTAGCATACAAATACAATGGCTACCAAAATCACGAGGATAACCACGAGCAGCACCTTCTACGTTAATTTTAAAGCTAAAATACTTGAAATCTTGTACTTTATAATAAAATATTTAACATGGCAATGATGGAACTGGGAAGAGGGTGAGGCAAAGATCCAATCCCATCCACATTCCCAATGGTGGGTGACTACAATTT